TCTAACTGGAGCACTTAGGTATTGCTCCGTTGTACCCAGTGCAATATTCATGATTGAAGAGCTTCAGTGTCTGTATCTCAGTGGCAACTATTTCACTGAGATCCCCAGTGAGGTGTGTGGTTTGAAGAAACTCAAAACACTCTATGTTCAGAGGAATGCATTGTTAAGACTCCCTGAAGAACTGTTTAATTTAAAGAACCTAGAGCATATAGACCTAAGTGAGAATTACATAGACAATATTCCTCCTGGTATATCTAAACTACATAGGCTCTTATACTTTGGTCTTGAAAGAAACAAATTAACTTCAATCCCCAAAGAGTTGTGCAATTGTAGGAGCCTTGAACATCTGTTGCTGGGTTCAAATCTGCTGACAAGTATTCCTGAGAAAATCTGCAAGCTGGTGAACCTTACAGAGCTGACGCTTGACAACAACCAACTTACTGAGATTCCTCTGTTGCTGGACAACCTGCAGGGGCTACTGCAGTCAGGAGTATTGTACCTGTACAACAACAATCTGAAGAAACCACCACAGGCAATCTGTGATCAAGGAGTAGTGCCACTGTTTCATTTCTTGAAGGAGTTAAGGATCAGTGAGGCTAAGCACAGAAGAAAGATGATCCTCATTGGAGCAGTAAAAGCTGGGAAAACAAGTTTGAAACATGCACTGGTTCTCGGTCATTCCAAGCTGACCCTTGAGCATGAACGGACATGGGTACTTGAACGACATTTATGGGAACCTGAGTCGCAGCTGAGAGTTCAGATTCTTGACTTTGGTGGGCATCATATCTATTCGGCAGCGCACCACATGTTTCTTACGCCGGAGGCCTTACATGTTCTAGTCTTTGATTTTACTAAGTACAATATGGACTTGTATGATGCATTGATTGGGGACTGGCTGGATGCAATCATGGACAGAGCACCTGGGGCAACCATCATGGCAGCAGGAACTCACGCTGATCTGTGCTGCGATGAAGATATCAATGACAAAACTGAAGATATCCTGCGAAAAATGCATCGAGATGAGAATGCCAAGATTGATGAGCTGACACGGGAGATTGAAAAGATGAGGAAGATCCTTGAGAAGCCTGAAGTCAAAGATGGAGGAGGAGGAAAGTTCAGTGATATTGGAATTGAACGTCTTCAGGAAAAGATGTGCCATATGCAGAAGATGCTGAACACCAGGTCAAAGCTGCCAAATTGTATATTTGCTGTTAGCTGTGCTGAAGATCTACTAGGTATGGAAACGTTTAAAGAAAAACTTATAACTCGGTTGAAGGAGACTGAAGAGAAACCTTTACCTGAATCTTGGCACAAGTTCCTTTTGTCTATTCAGAATCATCCAGATAGGATTTTGCCATTAGAAGAAGCTCTGGACAAATTCATGAACATCATGTCTTCTTTGAATCAGTCCATGATAAGCCTAGGAGGCTCTCCTGACCTGAGTCTTGGCATGGTCCTCAAGTACCTCCATTCCACAGGGGAGATTGTCTGGTACCATGAGAACCAGAAGCTCAAAAGTATAGTCTTTCATCGACCAGAAACACTGATTGAAATGCTGAGGGCAGTGTTTAGACATGACTTTGAGGAAATAGTCGTCTATGTTGAGGAACATGGCAAAGCTGCAGGTCTGTCACAGAACAAATTTGATATTCTTAAACAAGACTTTATCAGAAAGGGTTTAATGGCATATGAACTTCTCCACTACACACTGTGCCATTTCCAGCTGTCAACTGATGCCCTAGATACCTTTGTGTCACTGATGCTTAAGTTTGAACTTTGCTATGAGGTTCCTAAATCACCCTCGGCACCCTCCTTGATTGGTTCCTCTCGGATACTCCAGTTCCCTTGGTTCTTCCCAGCAGAGGTTCCAGATTCACTTGCTACAAGATGGCCAGCAGTAACTCCACCCAACCAGTTTGAGCTTCGTTACACCTTATCTTTCCCAAGCAAAGGTCCACCTTACTTCTTTGAAAAGTTCTCTGTAAGACTTCAGGCCCATGTTTCAGATCGAATCAACTGGAAATCTGGGATTCTTGCACGGAAAAATCTCAGCAGGTTATTGATACATAGAGAGAGAATCTTTGAGCAGGATGTGGTGACCTTGGCCTTCAGGGGAACTGACCTTCAGGAGCTGTGGCAGCTGGTGATACAGACACGATCAGATCTACTGGGTCTCCTCCAGGAGTGGCCATTCATCAGGTTTGAGTTGCTGCTGGTGTGCTCCCACTGCATCCTCAAGAACAATGATGATCCCTACCTGTTCCCAGGAGAAGTCCTGGAGTTCACAGTGCCCAAGGACACTGTGTGGGAGAACTGGTGCCGGAAACATGAGGATGACCTGATGCCGGCATGCTTTGTTTACCCTCTTGATCCAGGTCAGCATAAAGGATTATTCTCCAGATTAATTTTGTCTACCCTCTTGATCCACGTCTGCATAAATGATTATTCTCCAGATATTGATAGAGTGAAACTGAAATCTTGATAAAAATATCCATGCTATGTAACTTCGAAGGTCATGCCCAGCACAAATCTTACCCCATTGTCTCTTCTCATGCACTGTTCCTTCAGTTCCTACCAACCGCTTTGGAAGGTAGGTCCAGGTCCAATGGTCCAGCTTCACAAAGTGTTTGTATTGTTACGACCTGTCTTAACTCTATAGTTTATTATAGGTTTGCAAATGTCGTAGCACTGTGAACGTTTTGTTGATCGGGACCAAGATTGTTAAGCTGGCAATGTCTGTGTGTGTGAATGAGTGGAAGGTGATTGCCTGTTGCAGACTACCAGGATGACTTGCCTCGTCATATGCAGGCCGCTACAGAGTTCCTACAGAGCTGTGGGGATACAGTGGATGGGGGAGGTAATCAAGCAATCTGTCATTGGTTCAACATGTTCAATATATACAACATCATTCTATGTTTGAGTTCCTTTTACTTCTAAGTTGGAAACATTTGCATGGGAGTGCATCAGGGCACTGAGGAGGATAATCTTCCTCAGATGTTTCTCATTTTATGACTGCTGTTGCTTAATGTCAGCATTCTAATGCAGATAAATTGCAGTTAGACCGACAAGCCTAAAAGTTGTTCACTTGAAATAAGTTCATATCCTAATTAGATATTCTGCCTGATGTTTAGACATGAATTTTGTGAACATTGACTGTCTGAGACAAAGGTAGAGGTTCTCAACAGTAGGGTGCGTAGCTATGGCAGAAAAATTACATGATGAAGCGCTTATAATAAATAACCTGTCAGGATATTGAGAGTAGAAAGTAAGTGATTGAAAACTAATTTCCCCTAAAGATTTCTGTTATTCTATCAAAATTAGTGTTTGAGTATTACACATTGTATTTACCGGTACATTTATGTTGGGTGAGAATAACTCTCTTACAGTCCCATCTTGGGGAAGAAGAATAGTTGTCTCCCAGATTTACATTCCAGAGTACAGGTATTGCATTCAGCAAGTGTGTCCTAAATATAGGTTCTTCAGAGATAACATGTACACTTACCCATGCTAGATCCAGATCATCGTATTTCCTCTTCCAGGTTTATTGTCTGATGCTGGCCTTGGTTACATAGCATCTCGGCTGGGCTTCGAGTGGACACTGATAGCCCTACAACTGGGTCTGAGTCAGGCTCAGATTGAACAGATCCAGATGAAGTACCCACAGAGGCCGTACCACCAGATACACGAGGCTTTGTCCACATGGAGGAACAGGGAGAATGTGGGCAGTGTGGAGGACAGGCTGGCCCAGCTGCTGACTGTGCTGGAGAGCGAGGAAATTGGACGCAATGACTTGGCTGAGACTCTCAGAGAACGTTTTCATCTATGAGCTCCACTTGATAGCTAGAATAGAAACGATCTCCTCAAGATGTCTGTTGTCATTAGGATCACAATGCTTGTCCAAGTTTCTGTTACAAGGATAAGTGATAACAGTATTCCACATAATCCTAGATTCTGGCGTGTGTCACTGCCCTGGTTACATTTATGTGAGACTGTTTTATTTATTATTCAATGCATGTGTGGATGTGGGGCTTCGCTGCAATCTCACTGGCACATCAGGGTGATTTTGCACCATGTGGTCAGTGAGTGCTGGACAATCCACAGATATCTTGGGTTAACTCAACTTCAGCCAAGATTGATGAAGTTTGTGAACACGAAGTTTGTACCCATGTGAGTAGAATCCCTGAAAGACTTACTGGTGTCAGCTTTATAATTTTCTTTTAGATTAGTGCAAATGTGAACTGTTAGTGATAAAAGTAAATGATATTACAGTTTTGTCCAGGGATTAAGTGTGCATAATATTCATAAGAACAGCTATATTGAAAGGGGAAGAACTTGCAACAATAATCTTGATCACACTATCTGTGCTTTATGTTTTACGTCATTGTTCATTCAAAACTTGTTCAAATTGAAGCCTGTCACTGTCAGTGCATTGTATTATTGAGAGCTTTCTACGAGAAGAAATCAAATCAAACACATGTTTTAGCACACAGTCTTTTCAGTGATTGACTTATTTAGAGTGTATGGCATGATTTGGACCTTTCTACATAGAAATAAACACAAACACGTTTTTGTCTGTTCTGTGAGTGACATATTTCAATTTGTCCGGTGCAGATTGTGCTCCACAATAATCAATCAGCCATATGGTATTTAAGAATGTCAAGTAAAGGTGTCATGCAGTGCTATGATTTAGAATGTTTTTCAAACTGAAAATCACGTCCAAGTCAGTATTTGCTGTTATGGAATAGACAGTGGTATAGGTGCTTGTCTTACTATAGAATCCAGGATCACAATGGCTGGTGTACAGGAACTAGCTGCCTGTTCATGTGTAGTGTTGTCACTGCCATGGATGAGTTGCTGTTGTCCAGCCAAGGTCAGCTCACCATGATGCTGACAGAGGGTCAGCTCACCATGACACTGACAGAGGGTAGACTCCTCCTGCCTGAGCAGAGGATTTATCTACCGATATGTGCAAGGTGTGTGTAAGACACATGGAGGCTGAAGTCCTTTCGATGGCATGTGAACAGCTGTGAAGGGGATGAGAGGAACTGTTGTGTCCACATACTAAGTAGTCAGGGTAGTTAGCAATATGTTCTTACGGGCATTCCTTTCTTTGAAACCAGGTCTTTGATTTGTCATTTTCTTGTTGATATTAGAACTGCAATGTATGGTGTGTTTGTTTTGTTTGTAGACACAGTATACATCTGCCTGGTATCTTTCAACTACCAGAAGGATGTTTTTGCTGTCATTTCTAGAAGTTAGTCTATAATGACACATACTAGTGGAGCAGTGAGGAAGGATGTGTGACTTATCTCCCTTTGAGTGTAGCAGTATCATGTCTTGAACAAAATTTGTTGTTTCATATTTTCTGTTTGATTGTTTTCTTTAATTCTCTTACCTCCTGTAATTATGTTGCCAACATTCACTGCAGGAAGTTGTGTGACATTGTAAATTCGAAGAGGGAATTAGTTAATAGTTAACAGTAGAACTGAGAATCACAGAATATGGCCACAATAGCTAGGAATCAGTATTAGCTCTTTAAGTAGGCGTGCATGACTCACGTAAAACAGCTTGGAATCAACACTGGAATCAACACTGGATTCATCTGTGACTGTGTTATACAGCTGTTAATCAATGCGAGGTCAATCTCAGACTCAAGGATTACAAGTGGGAATCCACAGTGGCTCCATCTCATGCTCACAGAATAGAGCTGGGAATCCACAGTGGCTCCATCTCATGCTCACAGAATAGAGCTGGGAATCCACAGTGGCTCCACTTGAGACCAAGGAATACTGCTGGAATCAACAGTGGATCTTAAAGATCAATAATAGTCTATATATCAAACTCTTTCTTTTGTCAACCGTTTTTTATTTGTTTCCATGTTATATACACGCTTTGACTTTGTTACTTAGCACTTCAGTGTTCAAGTTGAAGTTGCACATTTAAGTGCTTACCTCAAGGCTAGATTCCACTAGCTGCCATGTTTGCCGAGGTGACAAGGCAAATGATTGTGATTGTGAATGTAAAGGAATGAAATAAGTGCTGTTAACAATGTTTTTACATGTTCTTTGTATGTTTGAAGAGCAATATTTTCCTCCTTAAAGGTAAATGTATTAGACTTGCGAAAATATTTGTCATCGTATTTGATATTAGTACATGTGCTGATTGTTTAAAGACAAAACAAAAAGGAATTTTGATCCCACAGCTTATAGATAATGTGTTTTAAGAATAAAAATGTGTTAAGGTCTGTGATCAGAATATCTTTAAAATACTTTTTTAAGTAATTTTTTTTAAGATAGATGGATGATGGGAAGAAAAATATTAACAATGTATTTCCAAAACCTATACTTTTCACCACACAGATCCGTGTACCAAGTAATGAATAGTACATGGCCCTTATTGAAATGTCAGGGGAGGACTTAGGAAGTTAGGATGAGGTCTTTTCATGGATAAACCATAAATCATGATGATAAAATGCTGTTATTGATTTACTTGTGTAAGATAGCTTTTGTTTGTTCCACAAAACAGCCTCAGCGTCCCAGTAACACTTTACACAGATATGTGATGTGCAGTACCACAGTGCCATGATCACATTGTTGAAGGACGTAAATGTTCAACCTTGCACAAAACTAGTTAATTCACATGTGTTAGAGGCTCCTTGGAGAGTCACAGTTTTGTAAACAATATATTTGACAATGTTCTTTGCTCAGCCATGATTAAAACTACCTGCCCATCATCATATTTGTTTCTCTTGTGCATAACTGAAGCAATAGGAGCACAAAACCTCCATGTTGAGGTTATGCTTTTTTCCATATTTTGCTTTGTAAGTTTCTCAAATCATTTGAAAGTTGTGTCTAAGACAACATAATTCAAATCTGGCAACAAGGAAGGATGCCATTTGTAACTGCATATATTTGTTTTTTTAATCATGTTGCCTTTGTGAAGCAGCTTTTAGGCTTCCTATGGTTGCGAGTTCAAACTGTGAACTTGCCTTGAATGTTCCCTTCGTAAGAAACCTACTTCTACCCTAGCCTACCTGATAGACACAAACATGTTGGCACCCATCCTGTGTCAGGGGCTTCACCACAGTCGTGGGGCCAAGCTGGCCTGTTTTAAGAGGTATATATTTTGCTCTGAACGGAGCTGTTCTTCTCGGGATGGCAGGGCAGTATGTTTGGGTTTTGAATCCTAGATTTGTCCTGGTTAAGCTTTATCAGCATGTTACCTAGGGCATGTGTTCACCACAGAGTTAGAACCACAGCTGGCTCACTTGTAAGCACAATTCATTGCTGATCTTATGCACATTTTTTAGAATCCCAGATTCAGTTAGGTTTGCTACTTTGTGAGCACATAAAACCCCAACATACAGTTGACAGGTGATAAGAATGACATACTGTTTGATGAGGCATCAAGCCTGACTCAGTCACTCGTACTGACAAGATGCAAGAGGACATGTCGTCACGGTTTATCGTCATTCCTCCCATATGAATGTACCACAGACCCCCTTTGCACAGTATGGATATATTCCACATCATCCATCTGATGAGACTTTCAATGTGACACATTTCTCTAAGCTGATAAGTCACTATCTATTTGTTTGGAATGTGTGGGTGTATTGTACTATCTCTGAAGGAGTGTTGCAGTGAAGGAGTGTTGCAGTGAAGGTGGCATGAAATGCTTGTCGTAACACCTGATGAGATGAACACTTTGCTGATAACAGTAGTGCTGTCGCACCTGTTACAGACCTTTTTCAAAGTTATACCAAGTATCCTAAAAATTTCCAGCCTTGACATCTTGGTAGATCATACAAATATTGCAAACTGAATCATGGTTTGTGTTCTGTATGATAGCATGTGTGTTATTTCTAGAATGAAATATAGTAAAGATATTAGCATGATGAGGCAGAAGTATGAAGTGCAGTGATTGTCAGGCAATGGGTCTGGAAGATATATAAACTGTCTGCTTCAGGCAGTTTTGAAAGTGTTTCACCAATAGTTCTGAAGGCTTTTTACCCCCAAATCCCAAATTTGGCCAGCGGTTGATAAGTTGACGAAGTGCTATGGTTTGGTACAACTACAAATCCTGACCTTGTGTGTATTCTCAGCATACAATCTAGCCACATCGGCAGCCAGGACTGTAAGCTGGAATGAATATGTATTACGTGTCCTGCAATATTCTCTTGCTTAATTGCTACCTGACTTTTATGCAATACAATTAAGTTGATAGGGCCAGATGTTTAATCATATTTTATTCATAGAAAACTTGCATCTGTTCTGTGTTTTCTACTCAGTGCTTGTGATATTGTCATGTGAGATTCCCAACCGAGATTTTACACAGTAGTGGTTTGTCAGTCGGTACATATTACATAGTGTACATAAGCATAATGCTACTATACCCAATAAACTATATACATCCTCATATCATTGTGTGTCTCTTTCAATACACCCTAATGTTTTCACAGAGAGCCATTATCAAGCTATTAAGGATTCCCCTTATATTATGCCTTGGCCAGAAGCATGCCTCCTCCTGTTTCTACAGTGTTGTCACATAGCTTAATGTACATTAGAGACTTCAATTACTTGTTATGTTCAGATGGTGATTGCTCCACTCTGTTGTAGTTTGATTGCATGCCAGACATGCCAGTGTGCCTAGAAGCCATCTTGTTTTCGTGATGAAAGATGTTTGTCCTGGGTCACTTTCCTCCACTAAGGAGCCAAGTTGCCCCAAAATAAGTGATATACTGTTTGACATTTAATTCTGGTCATGAAGCTATTCACAACATCTTTGAAGTAGTGATACTGTAATCTCAACATCTCATAGGTTAGTTCATTTTGTGATTCCAATAAGTTGTGTTTTTGTTACATGTACCGGGGTGGTGGGTTAGCCTAGTGGTTAAAGCGTTCGCTCGTCATGCCAAAGGCCCAGGTTCGAATCCCCACATGGGTACAATGTGTGAAGCCCTTTATGGTGATCCCCAGCCATGATAATGCTGGAAGATTGCTAAAAGCGGCGTAAAACCATTCTCAGTCAGTCAGTCAGTCAGTGTTACATGTACCTGGACTGGTCAGACTTAACCTGCATGTGTGGCTGAAAAACCCAATCATCAGTACCCCATGTTTGTACTGGTTAAGATGGTGATTGTGTGGACCTCAGTTAGGATGGTGATTGTGTGGTCATCAGCTGGAACTTAGAATTAAAGGAATAGAGCAAGGATTGGTCAGCTCAGTGTCAATATTCTATGTCAGTGTAGTGTGTCCATGATATAAAATTGTGGCTAAGTATTGGATTGGCTTGCACCATTAAACTCACAGTATAAAACAAAGCATTTATGCATGTTGCTAAAATGTAATACAAAGCAACAATTGCAGCAATTCCCTCCACTCACACAAATGGGGGATGCCCAGGTACCCCAATTATTAGTTTAAGGGTCTTTGCAGGCAATATGAGGTTTCTGTTATGTAACAGTGTAGAGAACTGTATATTTTGATAATTTCTTTAGAGCCTGGAATGAATCATTGATCATGTGGAGTGATGGATGAAATGATGCACATAACGCCCTGAAAGAAACAACCAACACTTAGGGGAGTTAGAAATGTCTTGTGGGTAAAATGAATAGTATTGTGCATCCATCTGGACATAGCAATTTTTTTCTGAGTAAATGCTCTACATTTGTGCATACTGGTTTCACATAAAACCCGGTTTATGGATTCAATTAATTAATGAAAACAACAGAGGAATTATAACAGAAATATGTATTCTCAAGATATGTACATTTGTGCCATTTAAAACTTAACTGATACACCACAATAATATCTGATTCGTAAAAAATATATATACCCATATGGTCCACAGGACCTAAATATCACTATGACAATATGCCATTGAAGGTCATTCAGCTTATCACAATACAATAAAGTTAATCTCGGATACACGACCAAGCAGTTTAAGTACCCGTGTAAAGGTACTTTAAGCAAAGCAAACTGTCCAATGAACAAGACACCCCCTCCAGACCCTCACACATTACCAAACTGTTGCAACTATTATACACTGCTGTAAGGTGTCGTATTAATCAATAACAATAGTTGTTACAAGAACTTATAATACCCTGAGCCAATGCATCGATCACTTCGTGAATATATAAATTATTCGCCAAGTTGAATCCTTCGGCCACAGTTCAAAGTTCATCGTCCTTTCACCACCGCAATTTACCTGGGCAAAACTTCTCGACAAGTTCATTGTAATAGGGCAGAATACTTTCAACATCAGGCATATCTGGTGACTTTGAGTAGAGATCAAACTGGTTAAATTCGTTCACCCATTTTATCATTTCCATGTCCTTGTTGTTGCATAGATGCCTGTACGCTCCGCATGAATGCCAAGGGTAGAAGGAATGAAAGCGAATGATGTTCAGCCCTTCCTCCGGCAGTGTGCATCCATTAGCTTTCAGGACACGATATAGATATTCATCGTGACCCCACGACATTGTCACATTTTCAAGTCCACAATTTTCTGAGTAGATTCCAAGTTTTGTGTTGAGCTTGTCATTCTTCAAGTCTGGATTTTCGCTGAAACTTTCCAACCCAAACACGATGGACTCGTCCGGTAAACATCCAACGGGAAAGGTGTCCCCAACCACTGCCCACTGGGGTTCCCCCCAGAGAGCCATCATCTTGCCGAGGTCGTGAATCAACCCAATCACCTGGAACCATTCGTTGGTCGGGTGCTTTGATCGAATTGCCTCGGCTGTCTGAAAGGCGTGGAGCGAATTTGGAAAGTCAACATCGGGATCGCTCTCGTCGACCAGTCCGTTGAGAGCCTCGATCGCTTCCATGATAGTCATCTCTGCATGGTTGAATTTTGTCCAGCTCTCGAGGCGGTTTTTAGCATATTCAAGTGTCTGTTTTGTGTGCATTTCGCGGTAAGTCAAGTATACTCTTTCGGGGACGGAGTGAATCTGAAAATCTCTGAAATTACTTTCCTTTTTCTCGGGTCGATATTCCGAGGGGTCAGTCAATGGAATGGGTTCAACAGCGACTGACATCATGAAAGTATCAGGTTATATCTTCTGTAGACTATAGCCACCTTCACACACTGACCGAGCGACTGTTACCAACCAAGTATATCAGTCGTGTTGACGTGCAAGCATATTTATATACCTGCTAACTATGATCCAGCTGGAACTGGTTCCCGTGAGTTTGAGGGTGACAACCATGAACAACCACGTACGTAGGAATTTAAGGATATACACAACAAGTGATTTGCACCATTGAATATATATTTCAAAACATAGTCCCATTTGCCAAAAATATAGTGATGAGTTTGTATCCAGACTACTCTACGATTAACTGCGTTTCTTTTAAGTGTATATGATATTTCCACAAGTACCAACAACCACGCGTCATTGAACCTCCTCACCCTCGCACATGGTGCTTTCGCGTTGACCTACTTTGAGTGTTTACAATCTTGAGGGCCTAAATGGGTACGGCTCTCATATTAGGGTTATTTTTACGGTCCATTTCATTCCAAACTAGAGAGTCTTGCATGAGCTGCGCTGCAAGTACACTTTTCCAGGACAAAATGTTATGTTGTAAACATTTCGTGGCATTTGAACTCACTAACCAACTAACTACTCTTTTGCTTTGCCCACTACTTCTTTTCATAATTACAATTATATCCACGTAAAAGCGGACAATATTAGAACATTCTTGAAATAATTGTTACGTTTACTCGATATCGGGCTTTTTCACTGGATCAGAAGCCGGTCACACCACCTCGATACCTATGTCCGTAATCGTATTTTCACGTTTTTTGTTTGACTTTGTATCTGTCTATAATATCCATACCACAAATTAAAGTTAATGTGAGCATACGCTCACATCGCCTATCATTTTAAAGGGAGCGGTCGGGTGACCTTAGGACTAAAACCTTTGCTCGTCCGATGGCCTGAGTTCGATTTCATTCATGGGTACCGTGCAATGCAATTTCTGGTGTTCCCCGCCCGGATATTGGTGCAGTATTGCTAAGCACGACGTCAACCACACCCACTCTCTCTCCCTTTGAGGAATTATGTTATAGCACGTTACAACATGTTGTAATGCTCTGAGTGGGTACACGAAGTCTCTCATGTGTTGACATCCTTCAAACTGCAGATATGGGATTACAAGTACAACCATTATCTTTCACTTGGTTTTCACACTGGGTACTGACCTCCGACATTCATGAACATTGCCCTCACGCTATGATTGTTCACACTCCACTGAACTCGCACAAAGGGTCATTTCTGGAGTAGTCTATCCTGCCAGGGATTATCTTTGCAATCCACGGACGGCCCTCCACATATACCTAAAATAACCGTGTCGAATTTTCTTCATACCCTCAAAATATTCTCTCAATATGTATCTCTTTATTAGACGATTTGTTGGCGTCTCACCTTTTTTCGTGTACACGTAAAGCATATTACCTAACATTTATAGAGATTATTACACGAGCAAGTGTGACATACGACTTCGTGTTCGCTTCGTGTGGCACATTTGCGAGTGTAATAATTTCTTTATTATCCATTTTATTCATGTACATTTGTACAGTAAATAGAGAATACTAAACGATGCCCCGTGTAATACTATATTTATGAAACGAATGAATGGCTTGGTATCGAACGACCGGCAGCGAATGGCTTGGTATCGTGACGTCACGGAAATGAACGGAAAGAGTCGAATAGGTCACGGACAATTACGAAGGTTACGGGTAGACTTGGTGCCTCCTGATTTTATTCTACGGACCGAATGGATCCGATGCCATTTGGCACACTCGTCCCATTCCGTAATCTACAAATTAACGTGTGGCGTGGAATGAGTCGATATGCCTCAAACTGAAAAGGGTTGTTGACGTCAGACGTAGATTTCACGGTGCATGCATGAATGACGCGCTTTTATATAAATCGGTGATTTTGTGACAGAAAAGTGATGTAGGGAACACTGTAAGGATAATATGGATCGCACTAAGGAACGAGGGAGACATGAGCGTGTGTAGTGACGGCACGAGGGTGAGTTAGCCTTCGAATCATTACTTTATAAAATTTATGTTGCGTGTGAAAGAGGCTTGAGTCCAAATTCCAGGCCAATTTCCATTAGCCCAAAATTTCTACATTAAACCATTTCATAGTGTACTTTTTCCCGTTTTTGTGTGAAAAAAAACATTCTTAGAATGTGTAATAACATTGTAGAATTATTAAACAGTGATATCTTCAACGGGTGAGTAATAAAACACGGTGAGCAAGTGTTAACACCTCTATGTCTTATATGCCTACACAAAATAAATATTAATATTGATAAAATACTACGACAGCGACTTAGAATTCTATCTTTAGTACGATGAAATGGTTGAAACGAGACTAGGTTTCTGGTACAAATTGTGCCCAGTGAAAGACAGATCATAGTCAGATAACAAGACGTGCCGCCGGGAGATAACGGGAGACGTCAGAAGACAGTGTGGAATAATGCTATATACTGAACTTTGTTGTTGTTCATCTCTGCACATCACAGCTATCTCTGCACATCACAGTTATCTCTGCACATCACAGTCATCTCTGCACATCACAGTCATCTCTGCACATCACAGCTATCACTGCACATCACAGTCATCTCTGCACATCACAGCTATCTCTGCACATCACAGCTATCTCTGCACATCACGGCTATCTCTGCACATCACAGTCATCTCTGCACATCACAGCTATCTCTGCACATCACAGCTATCTCTGCACATCACAGCTATCTCTGCACATCACAGTTATCTCTGCACATCACGGTTATCTCTGCACATGCTATCTCTGCACATCACAGTCATCTGCACATCACAGCATGCACATCACAGCTATCTCTGCACATCACAGTCATCTCTGCACATCACAGCTATCTCTCACAGTCATCTCTGCACATCACAGCTATCTCTGCACATCACAGCTATCTCTGCACATCACAGTCATCTCTGCACATCACAGTCATCTCTGCACATCACAGCTATCTCTGCACATCACAGTTATCTCTGCACATCACAGCTATCTCTGCACATCACAGTCATCTCTGCACATCACAGTCATCTCTGCACATCACAGCTATCTCTGCACATCACAGTTATCTCTGCACATCACGGTTATCTCTGCACATCACAGTTATCTCTGCACAACCTCTCTTAAAAATGCAAGAGATTCATAATCAAGATGGTTAATGTATGAACGGTTCACCCCGAGTTTTAAGTACAAATTGGAGCTTTTAAAAAGCGCTAGAACCTTCATGTGTGAGTGTGCATATATATATAAGCCTCCGTGTTTCCAATGTCTCTGGGGTTGTATGTCATATGCCCGAGTGACTTGCTTGTTTACTAGGTGTCTATTCACAGTCCCTGTTGACTGGCAAACAAAACAGGTTAGTCGTTCACAGATCTCAGGCAGTCTTTTGTGTCAATGCGACCTGTTGGTACACTCAGACTGAAGAACAGCGTATTTAGATCCTCGTGTTGTCAACACCCTTCCTATGCATGACTGCACCTGGTGAGAGAGAAACATTTATTGGTGGTCACATTTGAAAGGTGTGGCACAAATTCTGCTGTGTCAGCAAGAAATGACATCATTTATCCCGAAGTCTATGCACGTACAGGTCCCACTTTGACAGCCACGTTAGGGCTACGCTGATCGTAACTCCCATACTGCACCATAGCCTTCAGATGGACACTGGTTCTGCTTCAGTGTGTTGATGGCATGTGTGTCTGTGACGGTGAACTAGACTAACGCTTAGTCTCTGAATATGTATAATTTGGAGAGTAACAAACAAACCCATTTAAATTGAAAAGGAGCCCCAAAAAGACCATAGATTGAAACTGAGGGATTCTAGACTTGCTTCATTGAGGGCTTTAGCCTTGCGGAAAGAGCTAGGCACTTGGCTTCACATCACCCCCGACTGTATCTGCCCCGCGGGGGATGAAGTGAAGAGGGGCAGATACAGCGGGGGTGATGTGAAGAGGGGCAGATACAGCGGGGGATAATGTGAAGCGGGGCGGATACAGCCGAGGATGATGTGAAGCGGGACAGATAGAGCGGGGGTGATGTGAAGCGGGACAGATACAGCCGAGGATGATGTGAAGCGGGACAGATACAGCAGGGGTGATGTGAAGCGGGGCAGATACAGCGGGGGTGATGTGAAGCGGGTCAGATACAGCAGGGGTGATGTGAAGCGGGGCAGATAGAGCGGGGGTGATGTGAAGCGGGACAGATACAGCCGAGGATGATGTGAAGCGGGGCAGATAGAGCGGGGGTGATGTGAAGCGGGACAGATACAGCCGAGGATGATGTGAAGCAGGGTGTGATGTGAAGTGGGGCAGATACAGCGGGGATAATGTGAAGCAGGGTGTGATGTGAAGTGGGGCAGATACAGCGGGGATAATGTGAAGCAGGGTATGATGAAGTGAAGTACAGCGGGGATAATGTGAAGCAGGGGTGTGATGTGAAGTGGAACGGCAGATACAGCGGGGTGATGTGAAGCGGGGTATGATGTGAAGTGGGGCAGATACAGCGGGGATAATGTGAAGCGGGGTATGATGTGAAGTGGGGCAGATACAGCGGGGATAATGTGAAGCAGGGTGTGATGTGAAGTGGGGCAGATACAGCGGGGATAATGTGAAGCAGGGTGTGATGTTAAGTGGGGCAGATACAGCGGGGATAATGTGAAGCGGGGTGTGATGTGAAGTGGGGCAGATACAGCGGGGATAATGTGAAGCGGGGTATGATGTGAAGTGGGGCAGATACAGCGGGGATAATGTGAAGCAGGGTGTGATGTGAAGTGGGGCAGATAGAGCGGGGATAATGTGAAGCAGGGTGTGATGTTAAGCGGGGCAGATACAGTCGGGGGTGATGTGAAATGGGGCAGATACAGTGGGGATGATGTGAAGCAGGTGTGATGTGAAGTGGGGCAGATACAGCGGGGATAATGTGAAGCAGGGTGTGATGTTAAGTGGGGCAGATACAGCGGGGATAATGTGAAGCAGGGTGTGATGTGAAGTGGGGCAGATACAGCGGGGATAATGTGAAGCAGGGTATGATGTGAAGTGGGGCAGATACAGCGGGGATAATGTGAAGCAGGGTGTGATGTGAAGTGGGGCAGATACAGCGGGGATAATGTGAAGCAGGGTGTGATGTGAAGTGGGGCAGATACAGCGGGGATAATGTGAAGCAGGGTGTGATGTGAAGTGGGGCAGATACAACGGGGGGGATGTGAAACGGGGGATGATGTGAAGCGGGGCGGATACAGCAAGAGGTGATATTGAACTGCATGTCATGTGAAGCGGGCCGGATATAGAGGGGGATAATGTGAAGGAGGCTGTGATGCAAAGCAGGACGGATACAGCGAGAGGTGATGTTAAGCGGGATGTGATGTTAGTTGGTGCTGATACATTGGAGTATGATGTGAAGTGGGGCAGATACAGCGGGGATAATGTGAAGCAGGGTGTGATGTGAAGTGGGGGGCGGG